CTAATAAAGAAAAAAAAAAAAAAAAAGAAAGAAAAATAAAAATAAAAAACGAGAGAGTGATCGAGTTTATAGAGGGCACTTTGTTCTATTTTGCTCCCTTTTGCTAAAAGTAAAAAATGTAAGCGTCAGTCTTGTTAAATTTTGAAAGATCACTGCTGTGATCGGTAACAATGTTACATTGGTGTTCAATTCTCGAAAAATTGAATGATTAACCATTTTGCTTCACCGGAGAGCCGCCACTGAACGGGACCCGACGCAACAAAACTGTACACATGTACTGATCGAATCATTCACTTAATCCCTTAATCCACTCTGAAGTAGAATCTTTTCTGTATTTCCAACTTTTCTGAGTTTAACATCTTGATAACAAGGGTCTAGAATGCTTTCTTTTTCCAAACGAAACTTAATTTTTCAGACCTAACCTAACTTTTCAAATCTAACCTTAAATTTTTAAGAGATTAACAGTTGTACCCTTATTACAAATATTCTACTGTCGAATAGAGAGAAGAAAAAAATAGAGAAAGCTCCTCTCGATAGCTAAAGTGTATTACGTGTATCGAAAGTGTATTTTTATTTGTAACGAGTAGGTTAATTGTAACGTAAGTCGTTCAGTGTCAGTTTGGTGTCTGCAGAAAATTGCAGAAAAGTAGCTGAAAAAGGCAAAAAGAGGTTTGTCTCGTACCTCGAGCGAGTAGCAACGAGCCAGGATAAACGAATCTTCCCTCGTCGATCTTCTGCCAAGGTCGGTAATCTTTTGCCAAACGGATACGATCTGAAATCAACCACCGCGCTTCCCTTGGAAATTTGTCTACGTGTTTAAGATTCATCGATCTCCCAACGGATCCGGCGGCTGTATTGCGAACGTCTGCAAATTGTATGGTAATTTATGCGATTATGCTAGCTCGGAGGTGTGTACTCCATGGCTTGAATTAGACTTCGGGGGAAGGAAATTTCAATTTTCCGAAGTTGTGTGTACAGATCGCATCATTCGCCACTACAACCAATTCTCCCCTAAAATAAACCGTTCGGAATCGATCGCCTGGAACGCGATTACAAAGTTGATGATGATCACGCTCGGGGGATAATTATTACAAAACGTTGGCATCGAGGTGATATAAATACGGATATTTGTACGTTTTCGAAGTCCCCGTTTCTGGAAAGATTGCCTAATTGAAACACCTAATTATCGACTCGTTAATTAACATTTGACGATTACTAACTTTTAATTGCAATCTCGAAGTCGATTCTTTAATTATTATTCGACAATTACAAACAGCTATTAATTGTTATTATCTCGAAGTCAAACAGCTGTCAACAATTTTTAAATTTCCGTCGTACTTTTAAAATCTCTTTTAAAATCAACTTTTACTTCAACCGCGATGAAATTTGTCTCAGGTACGGTAGTAGCAATTTCCTCGGTAATCTAACAAGACGAATAATCCATCAAGACGAATCACAGTTTGACGATTCTTCTTTCACGCTCGCGTTAGACTTTGCCTCGGAAATACTTGAAAAGTTTCGCCCGTCAGTTTCATTCTAGTTTCAGTGTGTTTCATTCGATCGTCCATCATACAACTCTACCGTAATTCAAATTTGTAGACGTGACAATTCGATCAATAACGAAAATTTACATTCGCCCCGGTATCTACGATCGTGCGAAACATATCGCGATTCTATTACACTGTGCGGCCACACGCTGCGGTTTTAATAATTTTGGTAAATATTAAAATTCATTAAAAATCGATAGTTCAGAATTAATTGGCGGCCCTGTAGCTGTACAGTTGCCTCGTCCATTCTCGTGTCAATTTTCAATTTCTCCCAGCTTCGGTTTGTGACAAACAATTTTATACAATTCGGCCGGATTCAGAGAATATTTGACAATTTTCAATCAGCAAATGAAATTCCTCGCGACACATACAGAGTGCCTCATTCGAGAGACGCGAGTTTTTCCCCTTTTCTCGAAATTTTTAAACTCTATACAATAAATATTACACGGTTCGAAGGCACGCCTCTGTCAAATTGTTTCTTGCAAACTAATTCCCGATTAATTTTGTACACACAGTGAGATTGGCGAAATTTCTGAAGACCAAACCATCTTCGCGTTCAATCCTTATGAATAATCGTCGCGGAAGACATTTATTCCATCACATTGGTTTTTTTTTCCCTTTCTTTCGTTCCAGTTTTTTCCCCCGTGGAAAATCCGATTCGACAAACGATTCGTCATTTTTGTTTTCTGGCTGGCGGAGATTCCACAGCAGAAAGAACGAGAGAACGAAAAGAGCTCTAAGTGGAACGTTCTGTACGCAAAATGGCGGGCGCCATTTGGCCATCTTTCACCCGGGTGCAAGATAAATTACACGTGAAATGGGATTGCGGGATAGGATGCGGACGCACGTTTCGAATGTTATTGGTGATACTTCACCTTCGTAATCTTTGTCCGGAACGGAGTCCAACTCCGGACTGTAAAATTGGAAATCTGTGTCTGGCTCCATGACGTGGCGACGGTTGAAATTTAGGTTAGAGACCGGCACGTCGGACCGGCCGATCCTCGGATACGCCATCAGGCCGGCAGCCCGCCTGTCGTTCGACTTTAACTTCTCGCCCTCTGAAATTTCACCAAGCAAATAAGACACGGGATCTCGATTATCGGAACTAATTCGAAGGCAAACGGAAGGCGAATAGTGGAACGACAGATTTATTAATACCGACACAGATTGCACGACCGTCATTCATCTTATCTTAGATTTTTTTTTTTTTTTTTTTTGAGCGGATGCTATTTAAATTGTTCGAAGAAATATTCTTACATTACATCAAGTTCAGGTAAACAAATTATTCTTAAGAATAAAAGTTCCAGACAGGATAGAAAGCTTACAAAGGATAGAAAGACACTGTCACTGAACAGTGATCGAACGTAATTGAATATTCTGAAATAGCTAAATGGAATTTTTATTATTCAACTTAATCAGACTCGAAGATATCTGTTTCCGTGACAACGTCAATCAAGAATATTTTTTGAAAAGAAAATCCCACAGAAACGGGAATCTTTTTTCGTACAATATATAAAGTACTATAATAGTACTATATAGTACTATAATATAAAGTACTATTTTCGTACTATTTCAACAAAATTTTTCTGAAAACGATCCCTGTGGTACCAACCGATAACATTTCACGGCGCAGCGATTGCTTTGAATGTATAATACTGCCACTGAAACATTATTACTTGGAATATTGCGTTATCTTCGACGATATAGATGGAAGAATACTTATGGTTTAAAAGCACTGTTACCGATAACAGAATATTCCAATGATGGAGAGAACGGGTGTTAAACGGAATAGGATAATGGGTGTTTCGATAATCATGGCTCTACTAGAAGGTGCTCGACGAACATCTAAGAGGTGGACAAGATAAAAATTACACGCGCAACAATTTACAGCGTAGTGTAAGTGTCGGTAGAAAAATAACACGTTCTCGATGCAAATGATTAAAATTATTAAGTTCGTGATAATTGTCAAACGGCAATTGCACGCTTTGTGAGAAGTATATAATGCAATCGCGCGCAGAGGAATATTATTTTCAATGGAAATAATTAAAATGGTAAATTGTCAAGAGGCGTCGTTCGTTTGTTTATCGTTTAATGAATAGAGATCCAATTAACTGCAGTATCTTTCGAATATTTCCACTTCGTTCCACGTTCGTAACCTTTCCTTTCTTTTTTCTTTTTTAATTTTTTTATACGCCAACGGATGTGTTTCAGTTTTTTTAGTGAAAGCGTCAGAGGGACTCGCTTTTCCTCTTTTAGGGCAACTCTCTCCCCTTCCTCCCCCTTTTTTTTTTAGTTTAATTAGAAACGAGAAAGGTGGAAAAGTTAAGGTCGCCAGAGAGCGTATACACAAATATGTTCAAAGTCGGTGCAATTTTTGGGACCGAGGGAAAAAAATTTCGAGCTGGTGAAAAGCTAGTTAAAAAAAACAACGTCGGACGAAGTACCGTGTGTAAATTATGATTAAGCGAGCAGGCGGAAAGTAGAGTGTATCGGTGAAACGACTGCGAAATCCAGATATAAATTACACACGTGCATGTTCAAGTGCACATTGTTTGTGCATATTTTCATGTGTAGCGCTGTCAACAGTAATAGCGAAGAAAAACGTCAAACTTTTAAAATAATTAAATTTAACGTTGAATAATAAACAGAACCAAGGATAGCAAATTTTTCTTGAGAAAAGACTGATTTTAAAATCGGGTTTCATTGCCAGCTCTGAAAAGCAATTTTGAGCTGTTACTCAAGTGGATCGCGCCAGAGATTTTCAAGAGAGAAAGAGAGAGAGAGAGAAAAATTACGGAATACTAGAAAACAAACTGAATTACAAAACGGTTCACTTGTCGAAAGTTGCGTTCTCTTTCTCGCAACAATCGAGGATCAACGATTAAGAGGATGTGAGAAATGGAAGAAAAGAAAATCGGCAGAGCGATCGAGAGGAAGGAAGAAACGATACGTCTGTCTTGTGCATGGCTGTTGATAGATCCCACGGTTTCCGATAATTAACTAGAAAAAGAGGGATACGGAGAAAGAGAGGTAAAAGAAACCCAGCCAATTCATGGAAGATCGATGAACGGTGTGCTTCGATTCGGACCTGTTACCTATCGCCTAAATAAAAATGCTTTTAAAACGTGAGATTACTAAGAAACAAGAAAAAAAATCAATCTTCTATAATCTTTTTTTTTCTTTTTTTTTCCGAGAAACCGTGTTATACAATCGTTCGTCAAGTCAAATGTTTGGAACTTTCCTCGACAAAGGGATTCCTGTCTGAATAATTCGAGGGCGGAATTTCACTTAGGCCGTCAACGATACAATTTGTTTGCGGAAGATTAAAAATGAGGATGCCTTTGGTACGAAGGGGCAGAGTAAACAAGACAGCGTAAACGCTGACTGGGGAAAATTAAAAAATTCTTTTGGAAGTAACTTAAGGGTGAAGTTTCTCTCGGAGTCGGCGACCACCTAATTTGTCTACGGAAGATTAAAAGAGGGAATGATTTTATCTTTGAAATTAAGAAAAAAAAAAAAAAAATAAGTGAAACACCGAGTTATATAAGAGAGTATGGAAAACGTTCTTTTCAAAGAAAGCCCGAGGATGAAACTTTGAGTCGTCAAACCGTTCAATTTGTTTACGGAGTATTAAAAAGGTGGAATGATTTCACTCTGAGGGCTAGAAGCTTGAAACAAACGAAAGCTGGGAAAGAATTAAGAAAGCGGGAGATCGAGAAATGGCGGAGTGTCATGGCGGATCGCTTGATGGCGCGAAAAATAAGACCAGAGTTCTCTTGCGCAACGTGGTCAATATTTTTTCAGTGAAATAACACATGGAATCTTTTTTCACAACAGTAACGATTAAAAGGAAAAGAGCGAAACATCTGTGCACAATTTATAATTGACAAATGACAACTCGCCAATCGACCAATATCAATTTGTGATTAAGGAAATGTGAACGCGAGCATCGAGAATAAACGAAAAGAAATGTAAAACAATGTCTACAAATTGCAACTCACGAAGTTACTAATTAACCTTGTTATTATTTATTAACAGTTGCTCACTAAATCTGTAGCTTACAAGTTTATCAATATCGCTGGCACAGCTCGTCATCAATTACAACATCGTCTAGATGCAACAAAATCTAAATTAAAACCGAAGCAAGTCTGTAACTCGCAGATTGCGAGATCAATCGATCGCCATCGATCTGTATTTAAGTTGAAATAAACAGAGAAAGAAAAATACAAGAATCGTCCGACTTCCGGACCAGCGGGACACCGGAAGTGGCGTTGCACTTACGATTGAAAGAGGTGGAAAATATCAGAACAACCAGGAGTGCAAGCAGGTGGCTTTTCATCGCGGTGGCGTGCGTTCAGTTCACACGGAGATGAAGATCCGATGAAGCGATACTGAGCAGAGCACGGGATCACGTTCGACACTGAATACCACCAGGTACCCGACGACTGATTTTATACCTTGCGCCTCGACTGGCTACGGGGGTTGCCACCCCAACCCTCCCTCGAACGCCTTCTCAACCCTCTCTTTTCGCATTCCCCCGTTTCATTCGCCCCTCTACACCATCAGTATGGTGATTCGAAACGTTTCGCCTCGTTTCTTCGCCCTGCTTGATACCTTTCGACCTTTCGTGGACCAATGTTGCACTGGCTGATGCTGCTCTGATTCACCATTATCAGCGACGGTGGAGGGAGAAGAATCGCTTACGGGGGGAGCTGTGAACGATACTGTAGTATCGAAGGGTGGCCTAAATGGTGTCGAATGATCGTAGAGAAATTTCAATGAGCGTATCGACACTGTTCGTAGCTCGTAGATACGAATTCCTTTTCGTTAACTAATAGGGACACCCATCAGCTTTGATACCGTACAAAGTTTTATTTCATTTCAATTATTACTTTTTTTAAATTTTTTTTTCGTCAGTAAACAGCAACGTTTATGAATTAAAAGAAACGACATTGCTTTTAATTATAAAGAGGAGATTAAAAGAAATTATTTTTTCGAAACTATTTTGACTAATTTATTATTTAGTAATTAAACTAGTACTTAAACTATATTGACTAATTTATTATTTAGTAATTAATTATTTAGTAATTCATTAGTAAGTATTTTGACTAATTTATTATTTAGTAATTAAACTAGTACTTAAACTATAACTACAAATAAAGAGAAGATACTTTTATTTGTAGAAAATAAAGATACGTTGTAACTGCAGCTTGTGAAAAGCTGGTAGAGAGTATAAAGGAATTAAATGTAGAAAGAAGCATTTCACAAAGTTGTAAATAACAATGCCACAAAACGAGTTCTTGAAATAAAAATTCAAGAGGTTGGTGTATCGATTTTGTTTAAAACGAAAGGTGAGATTTTTTTTTTTCTTCTTTTGTAAAAAGTAACAAGCGAGCGAAATTTATTGTTTAGTTGATTAACAACTTGTTACGTAAAGCGTATAATTCGTTGACTGCGAAGTTCAACAATGTAAATTGACTGAGGGAAGAAAAAGAAAAAACGATTTCGAATAACGAGTGAACTTTAATAGGTTCGTGTTTGAAATCATGTAGAGGATATTATCTTGTTAGAAAAGATTCTCAGAGATTCTCAAGAGCTGAGCTTGATTTTCAGAAACATGTGCGAAACGAAATAGAGCTTCGAAGGTAAATGATACGAAAAAAAAGAACGAAGTTATATTCGACAGAATAACAGAAAGATGTCACAGGTCTCTGTATCTGAAAACTCTGAATTCGAAAATGTTCTCCAAGTCAAATTATTTTTTTTATAGAACTCAAAAATGACTCAGTTACATATTCTCTTTTTATCCTTGTATCTCTTATTAAATTGAAAAATTCTTTGAAAATTCCGTCTCTGTAGTCATTCCGTTTTAGAACAGGTTATGCAGGTTGAAAGGTCGCCTCCGTTAGAAATTTGAAACGATAACAATCTGCGAGATCAGAGCGAATGTGACGAAGTTCCATACTCCAATTTCATCCTGATCACTTCGTTAAAATAACGAAGTGGCTACCTTCACTCCGTGTGTAGCTTGAATTCGTTCCGCTCGCGCGGAATTCGTTCATCCATTTCTCCCATTTGCATCGAGCGACGCGTAATCGTAGAAATTATCTCGCTCGAGACGCAATCTCTCTAACCATTTTACATTATTTTAATAATCCCACTCGAAATCGTTATCGTCCGTGAGACGATATTTCTATTCATATACCATCATCGTCGAATCGATCGTTTTTCAAAGATCACGGAAAGATCTTGAATCATCCACGGATCAGCAGTAACTTCCTCGAGCGAAAGAATCATGCCTTCAGCAGTTTTCACGCTGCAATTTCCAAGTCGGCAGTCGTAAAGAGAAAAAGTTTACGAGAATCTCGCCACGACGATTCACGACACGGTCACACAAGACAGTTTTATCATGACGAAACGCGTATGTATGTACGTGCGTGCGTACATACCTCGTGACAATTTTCTTTCATTCTCTCTTTCGTACAGCCACCGACAATTGGATATCGGATTAAATGAAGTTACGGGCGGTCGTGGGCAAATTTCGAACTTTGTTCAAAACCGCGTTTCGTGTGCACGAACCTGATACACACAGCCCCTGGCCATCTAATTAAGAACATATGCAGAACTTTCACTTTTGTGAACTGGAGTGTGCTCGCCGTGGCAAACTTTTACGTATTTCGCCCTCTCTCTCTCCCCCCCCCCGGACTCCCCTCTCGTATTTGTTGTTACAAAATGTTAAAATTTCATTAGCGGCACAGGGCGAGACAGGGCCGAACGCGTCGTGATTATATTCATGAAATTTGAATTCCACTTTAAAATGTATCACGTACGCGTGCAGGTTAAAAGATATTTACTGGAAAACGCATATACATATTAAATAGCAAACAGAATGGCATGAATATTCATCCCGTGCATTCGCGCAGATTTATTTCGAATTTATCGAATTTATTATGAGACCTCCCGTTGAGCCCGGCCAACACATCGAAATGCTTCGTAATTTTCGCGAGAGGTTTCTGTCCCGATACATCGGGATTCGGTAATGATAATCGATAGATTTTACTCTCGAGCTTTGTGCTCGAGGTGTAGTTCGATAACCGTTAACCGTGGCAAAAGACAAAGACATTCCTAAGCCTCGGTTGTAACCGAGCTTTCGGTATTGCGACTGAAATCGATTTCGAAATGGAGAGAGCCAACGTTTCGTTAAAAAGCAGCCGCAGATGGAGAGGCATATTTTAAATAATAAATCAGCACGGAACGAACGAAAAACATGGCGTTAACCACTTCCGCTGGTAACTGATTGCGGACCGTAACGAGCGACCAAACCATATACGATAATTCGCTTTATTCTTCTTGAACTCGTCGTGGTATGATATCACTGGATAGAAATTATTGAGAAGTAATAAATTTGTTATTTGTCTTGCCTATTTCGTTTTACTTAAATATATAATTTTACTTATTATAACGTGTTATGCCATAATATATAATATGTTATAACATAACCTGTGTTATGCCTAATATAACCTATATTCTAGTTAAATACATTGACATTTAGTGTGTTCATTGTTCAATTATATTACAGATTAAAGCTGTATTAACTTTTAAATAAAATAAAATTTTCTACAGTGTCAGAAAACGACATTACTTAAAGGTAATCCTTAACCACTTGCGCTGGCAACTGATTGCGGACCGTAACGAGTGACCAAACCGTACACAATAATTCGTCGCTTTCTTTTTGATCTCGTCGGTATGATATCACTAGATAGAAATTATTAAACAGTAATAAATTTATTTTTTTGTTTCGCCTAGATTATACTTAAATATACTTAAAACTGAGAAAATATTGCAATTTTGGGACAAGAAATTCTCGACGTGAGTGGCACGTTATTCCAGCGCAAGAGGTTATAATATTAACTACTTGTGCTGGCAACTGATTGCGGACCGTAACGAGTGACCAAACCGTACACAATAATTCGTCGCTTTCTTTTCGATCTCGTCGGTATGATATCACTGGATAAAAATTATTAGAAAGTAATAAATTTATTTTGTTTTTGTTTTGCCTGGGTTACACTTAAATATATACTTAGAACTGAGAAAATATCGCAATTTTAGGACAAGAAATTCTCGACGTGCGTGGTACGTTCATTCCAGTGCAAGAGGTTAAAGCCTCTCTAACGAAGCTGCCCGACTAAATGCAAATACCCGTATAATATGCAATAAAAGGGTACATAAAAATTCGTGTAAACAGACGCAACTGCGATTAATGTTGACCAAATCGCTCAGCGTTTCCACCATAAATACTATTTTGCAATTGACCGAAACCGCTTTGGCGGCTCTCTGCGTTTAACGCGACGACGCGAGACCGCGATTTGCGATATATTATACATAATAGAAATTACACGCGTTAGCCCCGAATTGATATCTCAATTGAATTGCGATGGACAGCCCCGATTTGACTATTTTCTTTTTCCTTTTTCTTTCCATTGGTTTGAAACTAGAGGGACTGATTGGATGAAAAGTAAAAGGTAAAACATTGCTAGCTCCCAGTAACTTGCCAGTCGAATCAAATTGTTTGCAAATTTCGCGCTCGAAAGACAAAAAATTTAACCCTTTGCCCCTCGGCAGACTTTATCCGCAGAATTCATTTACGAAGCATCACTTCAAATAAAATGAAATAGCATTGGAAATGGAAACGGAAGGGACAGTCGAGTGCAAAGAGTTAAAAATTTGCTTTATCGATGTTTGAAATCGTGCTCGAATATACGTTTGAAACGTTATGTTCAAAGTGAGAGTTCTGTTGTACGTTACGTTGAAAATCATGTTGGCAACACGGTTCAAAGTTAATTAAACAGTGTCTCCAAAGTTACATTTAAATCCGACGGTTGTACAGTAACTTACGGTAATCGATACTAACAAACTGTTACGCTAGAATTGCAAACAATTAAAATTGCGTCAAATCTCCCAATAATATAGATTTTGAATAACGATATATTAAGGTAACTAATAATAATGATTCGATTGGATTTAATTAATGGATCGAATAGATCTGTTTTCGAAAAGAACGAGAATAAAGCAACGCATTATTATTTGGTGATGGTAGATTGTACGCGACGACAGCGGCAGGAGGAATCGAATTAAAGATGAAACCGGTTTAATTAAGGTAACACGCGATTACGTATTTAAAATCCGCGGTCTGCAATTTCCATAACGCGGGACTACGTTGAATTAGCTATATCTGTCTATGCTGGTGACGCGCGCGGGCCGTCGGTTTTTTTTATTTTTTGAAGCAATTAAACCGCAGTAATTCTCGTCCGCGATAGTGTTTCCCCGTTACGCGAAACGAAACGGGCAAACAATTTCACGAGCCGTTTCAATACCGGGTCAAATTTGGGTCTTCGCCATTTTTCCGACTGCTTGAAATTC